ATTCGTCATACGGTAGATCTTCCAAATTAGCACGTAGCATTTTGAGTTTTCACAAATTTTCTATTTCTAGTGATGTGATATCATAATAAAAAAATATTACGTATAATTTGGAGACTATAATAACATATTTATAGGCAAATTATATATGTAAAATTTGTATATTTTTAATTTGACCCATTATAAAATTATAAATTACATATTTGGTATGTACACATAAAATAAAGTTAATACTTTAATTTAATGTATTAAGGTCAAATTCTTAATCGTATTGGATCATTTTTAAATAGATTCAATTAATTTAATAATTTTTAATGTACAATAATTTACACGTATAAATTCATATTGTAAATTTTTTTTAAAAAACTAACAAATTGTTCATAATATTTGTTATCCATCTGAAAAGGAGCACTAAATGTTAATTAAACCTAATTAACTAACATAATATCATTGTGCGTGCGCGTGCGCGTGGGGGTGTGTACTTATATATGTAATGTGTTTTAGTAAATAAATGATACACACATTTATTTCGTGGTTCTCTTTTTCACTGTGCGGAAACTCTTTTTTTGTGACTTTTTAACAATTTGTTTGAAAGAAAAAACAAAAAAATAAAATAAGAATGAAGTTAAAAAATTTTAATATAATATTTACAGCATTTTCTAAACAATTATTTTTCTTTGTAATTTAATTGTTAATTTATAAAAATACAATCCTCAGGTACTTTTATAAAAATTATAAACAATTAGTTAATAAATATCTGCATAGAGTAAACAGAACACAAAATTTTAACTATATATCTTATTTTGATACAGTATAAAATTATTTCACATTATATTTAATTAGAAGCTTTGTTTTTTTTTTTTTTAAAGTCTAACGTAACTCGCAAGTATTATGTCAATTCCCCGATCAAGTTAAAGTCATGTTGCATTTGTACATGCATTATTTTTTTTATCACTGTAATCATGCCAATGCATGCACATTATTTTAAATTGAAAATTTAATTATTACTCATTCTTTTAGGTAAAATGTAATTACTATTAAGCCTATAAAATTTACACTCACTTTTTTAAAGATAAAATTTAATTATTATTAACCATGGATGCGCAATAAATCTTCTAATTTTTAAATGTTTATTTAGAATAAATAAATCATCGGGTACACCCCTAACCAACCTCCATTAATGGAGCTCATTTTATCAAAAATTATAATACTAGTTTATAATATTCCTTAAAATTTAAGTTATATGATCTAATACTTGATTAAGAAAATATAGACTAATAAAACATTATTTTAATAGATTAAATATTAAAAAGAATTTAATATTAATTCAAAAAATAGTAGTCATAAAAATAATTAAATAACAATGCTTTCCTCCAAATAAATCTTAAATCCGAGAGTATAAACTTTTGAAATAATTAAAAAATTTAAAGTAATTTGTAACAAAAATAACTTAAAATTAAATTACAATATTATCAACATAATTCAGTAATTAAATTACTAAAACCGCCTGGTTACAAATAAAAAACTTACTCACGGCACGTGAGGCCTGTGGGTCCACGTCCAATCCAATCACGTGTTCCTCGCGGTGGCGGAAGCAGAAACGCGTGCGTTTTAAACGCCCAAAAAAAGGCGCGTAAGGCGTTCCTGTTCTATCTTCTTCAATCTCCAAACCCGGGCACCCGTCCCTCTCTCTGTCTCTCTGTGTGTCTCTCTCTCTCTCTCTCTCTCTCTCTCTCTCGTCCTCTTCGTTGCTTACAGAGAAAGCGAAAGAGGAAAACAGAAGGAGCATCTGATAACGTAGTTCTTTGAATTTCTTTCTTCTAGACCTAGTTTTTTTTTTTTCCGCAGACCAATCTCATTTACCTTTTTTTTTTGTTAAATAATCTAAATGTCTCTTTAATCAGTAAACATCGAAGTCCTTTCTCTCTGTTTCTCAACCATGGACGAGTCTTACAGTAGTAATCTCCCTACCAGCCGTTTGCTTGGTTCAGTACCTGTAAGTCCTGATTCATCTCTTTACTGCTTAGATACATGATAATATCTGTTTATGTTTTGATGATAGTGTTTTTCAAGTTGAGGTTTCTTCACTTTTTTCGTTATGTGCATGACCCGATCTGAACTTAACAGCGATCTAGTGAGATTAACCGCTTTTAATTTTCTTTCTTGTTCTTTAACGGTTTTGGAAGAATGAGACTCGGTTGTAATTGGGGAAATGTTTTATGTTCGTAAAATTTTATGCTGGAAATGGTCATTAAGAAATTTGGGGCTTAAACTCAATTAATCTTCCATTCATTATGTGATTGGTTTTGGTTTATGGCAGTAAACTGCAAATTTCAGGACAATGACATATGGGTTTTTTTTTTTTAAAGAGAAATTCAGAAATAATTGCGGGAGATCATTGAAAGTTAAGGATTTAATCCATTTATGTAACGTGTTGATACCATGCTTCTAAGAAGATTCACTATCTTTACTTCACTGTAACCAATAACAATAACATTTACTTTTCTTTAGTTGCTTAATGCCTCGCTTACTTGCTGCTTACATAAATAGTTATTATAGTTATGTGTCGGAGTATCTTTCTCTTTTATATCGGGAAAACCTCTCAAATACTCTATCCTTCCTATTTTGTCATCGTTTTATTATCAACTTTTCCTTCATTTGTAGGCGGTCATCAATGACGAAAAGAAAACTGCAAATTATGAAGGTATTTTGTGTTAAGAATATTTGTGATGCTCGAAACGTTTTAATTGGTTATACTGACAGCTAAGACCTAACACTCTCAAACTGTGAAGGAGAACAAAGTATAAGTTGTTTTTGAACTGATGTGCAGCCCCAGAGGCAAAAATGCAAATACCTCCTCCAAATAATGGACGAGGCAATTCACGGGGTTATCAAAATCTTGGAAGTCCAAGTGGTATGATTTTAGTAATTTAATTTATGTTAGCTCACATATGTTAAGCGCTCAGATAGTTCCATGATTTATCAGAACTTTTTTCAATTCTTACAATGCTGACCCTGATCTGTGAGTTCTGCAATCTTTTTGTCTTTACTATGGATATGTTCAAATAATAAAGGGAGATTTCTTTGAAGTGGCTCCGCCAATCTTTGTAAACTATATATCAGGAGAGTTTTGTCAATTCTTTTTTCCTCCTTTTCCCTGTGATATAGATTTATAAAACTCATTTATATGAGAATATAAAGCCGTTAGAATTGTCTGAATGAGAAATAAGCAATACCGCAAAACTATGAATATGATACTTGAGTTTTATATTCAGATTGAAATTTGCATTGGCTGTAAATTGACGAAGAATATTCTGGAATCTTTCAAAAAAATGAACTAGTTGTTGAACTAAATCTAGGTGCATTTTGCGGAGCTAGCCAAGGGTGTAAAGCTTTAGAAAGGAGATGGACCAAGGTTGAACTGAATCCTATCTGAAACTAATCTAAGTTCAAGAAGAGGGTTGAAATCTTTTTCCCACAAAGGGAAGAGAAATAAATAGATGTTTACCGACCTTGTAGGTCTTGTCTCCTATATGTTGAATAACTGCATGGAAATTTTGTGCGGTAACTTTCTGTCTACTTATTTCTGGTGCATACAAGCTTTTTATGTTGGATGTGTGTTAGTTATATTTTGCCTGTTTCTATTTAAGATTTCTGTAATTATTGTATCATTTGATTTAATGACACAGCTTTCTACCCATACATGCAGAAGCATTTGAACAACAGTCAGCACACAATTGGAAGGGATTATTTAGTATCTCATCATATGCTCAATATTTTAATGTTGATACAGACATTGTACTAACCAGATTGATGAGTTCTTTATTTCCCATTGGTGGAGATTTTTTCAGCAAGATCGATGCTAACCCTGATCTGTGAGTTCTGGAGTCTTTTTATCTTTACTATGGATATGTCCAAATAATACAGGAGATTTTCTTTGAAGTGAAATGCTTCATCAATTTTTATAAACTATATATTGGGAGAGTTTATGGAAATCCTTGAATAGAAATGCATGTCGTTGGGGTTGAAAATTTGTTGATAAAGGTTGATCAGAACGAAGAGTTGAATAAAAAGATTTTGAAGAATGGATATCTTTTCCCTATTCTCTTATCAACTTGGAAAGTGAGAATAAAATGTTGAATTGATATTCTTTTTTTAAGCATGAACCATGTTTTTTAGTCATTAGAATCACTGATCAGATTGATAACATTATGATTGGCACAAGTAAAGCATATTTTATGCAGGACAAGAAGATAAAATGGACATATTTCAATAATAAGATATATTTATGTAATTGTAATGTTTTCTTTTATTCCAAAAAAAAAGTGTATTAGTAATACTTATTTTTATTGAGGTATTTAACTTATTTACAAACTTTCTTCTTCAATAATGAATGAATTATTTCAGTTCTTTCTGCTTTTCTCTAATTTGTTTCCTAAATCTATTGATTATGCTTGATGCAATGAAAACAGAGTG